TGTTTTTTTAGTGCTTTATTCATCCTCATTTATGCTTTAAAAAAAAAAAACTTTAATTTTATTTGGAAAGTCAGATATACAGAGAGGAGGAGGGAGAGAGGAAGATCTTCCTTGATTTGTTACCCAAGTGGCTACAAAGGCCAGATCTGAACTGATCAGGAGCCAGGAGCCAGGAGCTGCCTCTGAGTCTCCCACACAGGTGCAGGGTCCTAATGGCTGGGGCTATTCTCAACTGTTTTCCCAGGTCACAAGTAGGAAGCTGAATGGGAAATGGGGCTGCCAGGATTAGAACTGGTGCCCATATGGGATCCTGGCATGTGCAAGGTGAGAACTTTAGCCACTGGGCTACCATACCAGACCCCAAACTGAAGTCTTAACCAGACTCCAAGAAGGCAAAAAATAGAAACAAAAGTATGTGATTGGGAAAGAAAGAACCAAGATCTGTCCTGTCATCCACTGATTCACTTCTCAAATGGCCACAATGGCTAGGGTTGAAACAGACTGAAGCCAGGCCTGGGATCTTCATCTCGGTCTCCCATGTGGGTGTCTAGGGCCCAAGCTCTTGGGTTATCTACTCTGCTCACCCAGGCACATTAACAGGAAGCTAGGTCAGAAATGGAGCAACCAGGATTTGAACCAGCTCCCACATGGGATTCCAATAACCCTCTGCACCCCAGCAGCAGCCCCAGCAGATATTCATAGTGCAGTGTTGGATGGTTTCTCTTTGACGTGAGCAACAGTAAGAGTGCTCACTAGTGCCCCCATCTCCATCTGGTATTCAGTATCCAATGTCCTGATAGCACAGTAAAGGGAAGACAAAGAGAAAGAAATGAAACACAATGGAGTAAGAGAAGCCCAGGCCCTGCCTCATGCAGTCAGGTCTGGATTTGGGGGACTGGAACCCAGCATTTCCCTCTAGGCAGTTGCAGTCTTAAAAGCCTTGAGCAATTTTTGTAAATGTATAAGACATGGCACTTTCTTATCAGTAATTTTCATTTAAAGAAAATGCTGTTCTTTTGGGAAAATGGTTTCCCAAAGCAAATGTCTGCTTCTTTGAGTTGTTGCCAGCTCAAGTTGGGCTTCTTCTGTTATCTGTTCCAGCATCAGCCTCTTTGCCAAGTAGAAATAAATACTCAGTGCGTGCCGTTCCCTGTGGTGACGCCCAGAGCTGAGTCACTGCCCTCTAACGTTAAACAGCCCAGTTAGGCTGTGCAAAAGGTGCTGTTCCTTCCAGCATTACTCCTTGGCATCAAAATTGTAGATAGAATAGGGTGATACCTTTTTGAAGTTGTTTATTTGGAAGATTTTTAAAAATGAAAAAAAGGAAAGAGATGAAGTGGGCAGAGGGGAGAGATTTTCATGCCTCACTTCCTCCTGTGTCTCCCTGCAGTAGCTGAGTGAGAACTCCGTGCTGCCTCTGCCCCCATGGGTGATGCGGCCCTAAGCACGTGAGCCATTAACTGCTGCCTCCAGCATGCACGCTTGTGGGGAGCTGGAGTGGGTGCAGAGCGGAATTTGATCCCAGATACTCCAGTAATGGAATGCAGGCATCCCGAGTGGAAGCTTTGCACATAGCAACATAACACTCCAAGAAAAACCATCTTTGACTCACAAGCTTTGGCTCTAAGATACATGAAATTGTTTGCAAGGGATACACTTGCTAACTTTTTTTCCCCCCACGTTGAAGTGGAAATCATTGCGGAGTGTTTTGGCAATAACATGACTTTATGGGTTTATTTTATGGGTTTTAATGATTGCCTTGAAGAGTAGGAATTTGGCTCAGTGGATGTGATGCCTGCGTCCCTCATCGGGAAGACCTGGTTGGCTTGAATTCCTCGCTCAAGCTCCTGATAATTCCAGATTGCTGCTAATGTGTATCCTGACAGGAGCAGTGATGGTTCAAGCCAATGAGTTCTTGCACCTGTGCTGAGGCCTGGGCTGAGTTTCTTAGTCCCAGCATTAGCCTGGCTGGCCTTGGCTGTGAGAGGCCCTGGGGAAATGAGTCAACAGATGGAAGCTCTCTGTCTCACCAATGAGTGACTGACTGAATGAATGACGTGATAAGGATTGGAAAGGAAGAAATTGTATCTGTGCTGATAAAGTGATGGTACATGTAAGAATTAATACTTCCCATAACTTGTTAGATTCATAATGAGTTAATGAGACAGATGCACAATGCAGTTTCTTTGTAAATACTAGTAACAGAAAAGTGGAAAACTGAACTTTTTTGCTTTTATTAACATTAAAATATCAACCATAGGTGAATATAACGAATTTATGAACGGTATATAAAAAATGGAATGAAAAGATATGTCATGTTCTTGGACTGGCAGATTCAATATCATAAACATGGACTCAGGTTTAGTGTGATCCAATTTAAAAATTTAGTAATTTTTAAAAGATGTATTCATTTGAAAGGCAAAAATTGGAGAGACTCCGGAAGAGAGGTGTTTCATCCACTGATTCACTCCCTAAATGACCTTAATGGCCAGGGCTGGACCAGGTCTGGAACTTCCATCTCCTTTGTGGGTGGCGGGGTCCAAGCCATCAGTTTGTCTGCTTTGCCAGGGATGTTAGCAGGGAATGGGTCAGAAATGGAAGAGCCAGGATTCAAACCACTGCTCACAGGGGATGCCAGCGTCACAGATGGCAACTTCACTTGCCGAGCCACAGCAACACTGCCTCCAGAAATACAACAGTTCTAATGGCCATGCTGATGCTGTGATGCTTGTGGAAATGTAAAGACCAGGAGATCCAAGACTGTTAGGGACCAGATGCCATGGCCCACCTGTACGTCTCTAGTCTGGGGAACCAGGATGGGAAAGTTGAGCTGTGGTGCAAGAGCCCAGATGCAGTCACTTCCGGATGAATGGCTGACAAGGGAGGACTGCCTGCCCAGCTGCAGTGTCAGGGTGGTTGCCTTTGCAAAACAAGGATGAGACAGCAGGCTGTGCAGTCGGGCAATGACCCTGGCTGCCAGTCGCACACCATTTATTCAGTAAGAGAGATTGTGAATCTTAGTGTAAAAGGTGAAATTCTTAGATGTAATCAAAGAGGATGTCATAGCCCCTCTATGGGAAATCATATTAAAGTTCATTAAAATGCTGAGGGAAAGGTGGGCATAAGCTTAGCTATATGAAGATCTGCCACCAGCAAAAGATGCCCTCTGTCTAACCCAGACCGGGAGAATTTGTGGGGATATTTGGCTGCTGCTTGTCTAGGATATGTGAAAAACTCTCAGGATCAAAAGAGGAAGACGTGATGGGACATGGGCAAGAGGCCGGGACGGCTGTGTTATGGAAAAAGACATCCAGACGACCTTGAACATGGGAAGCGTGTGCTTTGAGAGTTTTCGTTTCACTCTAGTTGGAGTCACTGTGATCATAAAAATCAAAAGACAGCAAGTGTTTAACAAGGATTTGGAGAAAAGAGAACCCTGTCCACTGTCGGTGAGAATGTTCTGGAAAACAGTATGGAGGTTCCTCCAAAAGTTAAAGCAGATCTGCCTGGTGCCCAGGTATCTCGTTCTGCGTGTACACTCAGAGTTGAGAGTAGGTTCTGGAAGAAGTACCTGTTCCTGCATATTCCTGGTACCGACGACGTGGAAAAAACCCTAAATGTCACATATACGCCATGGGATACTGTTCAGCTACAAAGAAAAGGCAGTTCTGTCGTTCGTGATCCCAAGGATGAAACCTGGGAGATGACTGTCTTGTGGTTTAGTGGCTTAACTGAGCCCAGTGCAAGTAACACAGCTCAGAGCTTGCCAGACTCCACTGACACACAGTCTGTAAATGGTCAGACCTGAAGAAGCAGAGGGCACAGTGAGGGTTGGCGGGACTGCAAGAGGCAGAGCAGCAGACTTGCTCTTCAGCGGGCCTCTGGTTTCATCCTTGCAAGTGGAGAGCATTGCAGAGACTGGCAGCTGCATGGCGAGGGACCCACAGGGGACAGAACGGTACTGCGCTGCGTGCTTGCTCGGCTGCTGAGAGGGTAGCGCTCCTGTTTGTTTGCTTCAGTTATATTTTTACCACAATTGAAAATAAAAACCAAATTAAACCACACACACCCCAGGATGACTTGGGAGAAGGGAAGGGAGCCCCAAGAAGGTGCAGACACTGCTGAAAAGCAGCCTGGCTCCGTGCAGTCGAGGTCACATGCTCCCATGGCAGCTCCTGGACATGCATGAGCCACTGGGGGACCCAGCATGCACTCATCCAGGACGGGTGAGCGTGACAGGTGTAGACCAGAGCCCAAGGACAGGCACTGCTGCCCCTTGGGGGCTGCTTCATCCCTCGGGTACGGGGAGAGTTGCATGAGAGCCATACAGGAAAGCAGAGGAGGGATGCCCGGCACAGCTTGTTACTCCGATGGCAGCGAGTGGGGCTGCCAAGTGAGTGAGCTTCCCACCTCCACTTTTGTGTTTAAATGACAGTTTTTGTTTTTGTACTTTCGGTTCATGTTTTCCAAGGAGTCAGAGGTTTGTTGGGTTTTAGTTTTCAGGAAAGAAAGAGCTCCTAGGTGTGGTCAGTTTGGGTGGTGCTGCCTGTTGGGTCCTGCCAGAGGGCAGGTCTGGCACCAGGCACGACTAACAAGTCATGCAGCTCCATGAGGTCTGGGTGAGACGCTGCTGGCTGCTGCTCCCTGGCCTGGTCTCTGGGTGCATCCCTGCCCCGATCTGCACCAGCTACTTCAGGACAAAGACCTACAGCTGTTCTCTGACCTTACCAAGAACTCGGCATCTGATGGCTTGGGAGTTTCCAGCTTCTTGTCCACCTCTGGGCAAGCAAGGAAGTGCCTAGCAGTTAGCTGCTGCAGCAACTGCAAGCCCTAAGTGAGAACTGGCTGCTAGTCGAAGCTCCCAATGCAGGTTGTGGTTCATGCTGAAGCTGCCTGCAGGGAGCCAGGACCATGTACCCGGTGGTGGTGAACATCCCTGCAGCTGGGGAGGGCAGGCCTGGTACCAGCCATGGCTAACATGTGTTTCTTGTTCCTTCTAGATCCAGCCCCCAGTACAGACCAGCTCCCCTTGAAGGAAGCACCCAGCTTCCCAGCCACTCAGCAGCTCCTGAGCCAGGCAGCCCTCAGTGACTCTTTGGGTAGCACCGCAGCCCCCTCTGCACCATCATGCCCTCCTGGGACTGCTGTACCCCAAGACAAAGCAGCACCGCCTGCCAGCGCCATACCAGAGCCAGCACTAGTGCCAGGGACTGCCATCCAGGCAGGGGGCCCAGCTAGGGCGTGTGAGACTCCCCAGGCACTGTCCGAGACTCGGGATGCCCAGCTCACTGTGCGGCCCCCCAGTGCAGGCCAAGGACCTGCGGCCCCAGTCCCAGAAGCTCCCCGCTATCCCACAGGCTTCGGGGAGACTGCCCCAGCCAGGGAAGCCAGTACCCCAGGGGAGTCCTTTCTGGCCCCGGCCCCTGAGCCCAGCACCCCCAGCAGGGCCTTAGGTCAGGCTACCCTAGGTCATCCAGCGCCCCCGCTCCCCTCTGCTGTGAGTGTCGTGAGCTTGTCCGCCTCTCAGCTCCCCAGCCCACCCCTGGGGCCTGTCGCTCCTCCGCCACCACCCTCAGCCTTGGAGTCGGATGGGGAAGGGCCACCCCCCAGAGTGGGCTTTGTGGACAGCACCATCAAGAGTCTGGATGAGAAGCTGCGAACCCTGCTCTACCAGGAGCACGTGCCCAGCTCCTCAGCCTCGGCCGGGACCCCTGTGGAGGCAGGTGACAGAGACTTCACACTAGAGCCCCTGAAAGGAGAACAGCCCCATGCTGAGGCCTGCAACGGGGACCCAGCCTTGACCCCAGCACCCAGCGGTGCAGCCCCAGGGCCCACCCAGATGTCCCAGCCCTCGGTAAGGAGCCAGCTTCGCCATCCCAGCCATGCAGAGAATCTCCTGCCCAGAACTGGCTGCACCACAGGGGATTTGCCCCCAAGTTGTCCCAGTGGGGTCTTATCAGGCACATGGAGGAACTAGGTGGCTGAGGGCAGCTCTGGACCAGGAGGGGGAGGACTTGCCTCTTAGTCGACATGGGGATAAGACAGGCCTGGCTCAATCCCTTGCCTGATTGTGTTTCTGCCACCAGTTGGAGAAGCTGGAAACAGCCCCCATGCCAGGAGGTGAGACGGAGCAGGAGCAGGGTGCGTCGTCTTCAACAACAGGTAACAGAGCTCAAGATTGCCCAGTGCTACCAGCCCCTTTCAGGCCTGGGACCTGCGCCTGCAGCCTCACCCTTCAGAATCTTGGGCTGGGGCCACCGCCGCATCAGAGCTCACTGTGGCTTATAAAAACCGCTGGGTTCCAGAAGGAGCATTGGGGCAGCGGGGTACAGGGGGCTTCCAGAATCAGTGTAAGGTTCCATATCTTCTACCACCAATGTCACAAAATCCCCTTCCCCCACCAAATGAACCCAGCATTATTTTGGCTGGAGTGTGCAAGGTGGGGGCTGGGGTTGCTACAACTCCTAGAAGCTGTCCCTTGCTACATGCCTCCCTTCATTGTCTGACATCTGAGCCTCCATCACCACAGTGCTAAGCTCACCTGCTAAGGTGCGTGAGGTGTGAGGGGGGCCTCCTCAATCTGGGATTTCTTGGGGCTGGGAAATTGACAGGAGGTGGGAGCAGGTGCGCCTTGGAAACCTCACTGTGCGCCCTCTGCAAGTAGAGGCACTCAATCCCAAGCTGCCTTCCCAGAGCCAGGACAGTGGCTGTTGGACGGGTGGCTGCCTCGCCCAGCTCAGCTCCAGTAACTTGCTGGATGCCACACTTTGGGCTGAGGTAGGAGGAGGTGGCATGAGTCCTGGGGCAGGAGCTGTACACAGGTGTGGCTTCAGCTTCCAGGGCCCTCACTGTGGTAGCCTTTCTGGGTCCCACTCCCTTCCTCCCTCAGTCCCCGTGCTGTTGTCCTGTTCCTACAGCAGAGTCATCTTCCAGCAACACGCTGGGCTGTGACAGTGATGGCGGGCAAGTGGCCTCAGACTCGCCTGTAGCGCCCAGTGCCACCACCCAGGTAAGGGGGAATCAGCTTGGCCTCTGGTGGGCTCTGTTCTCCACTGTGAGGATCCAGGGCTCCTCTGGACGCTCCTCATTTCCCCTTGTTTCCCAAGGACGCCCCTGCACGCATGGAACCCCCAGACCGGAGCAGTGGGCACCCCAGGGAAGTCTCTACAGAGCTGGCCCAGAGCTGCCCAGGGGGAGTCGCAGACGGCAGCCAGTCCGGTCGCCACCTGCCGCATGGTGCCCGGTCCTCGGGCTCCTCTCAGAAGTGGATGGGACAGCAGGACAGGGACTCACCTGCCAGAACTGTGGGCCGCTTCTCGGTGGTTAGCACACAGGATGAGTGGACGCTGGCCTCACCGCACAGCCTGCGCTACTCAGCCCCACCCGACGTCTACCTGGATGAGGGTCCCTGCAGCCCAGACATGAAGCTGGCGGTGCGCCGGGTGCAGACAGCCTCCTCCATCGAGGTGGGTGTCGGTGAGCCCGCATCCAGTGACTCCGGAGATGAGCGCCCACAGGGGAGACCACTAGTGCAGAAGCAGGCATCCCTGCCCGGCAGCAGCACGGCCAGTGACTTGGTGAAGAAGGCCACCGCCTTCCTGCACAGGTCTTCTCGGGCAGGCTCCCTGGGGTCTGAAACACCCAGCAGGGCGGGTGTGAAGGTTCCCGCGATCAGCGTCACCTCCTTCCACTCTCAGTCGTCCTACATCAGCAGCGACAATGACTCGGAGTTCGAGGATGCTGACATCAAGAGGGAGCTGCGGAGCCTTCGGGAGAAGTACGTGGGGGAAGCTGAGGTCCTGGGAACGCGGTGGGCAGAGGGGCCTGTGGGGGGTGCACTTGTGCCAGGCCGGAAGCCCCTGGGTGGAGTTCAGTGCACTTGGAGCAGTGAGGCAGGGACGAAGCCGGCTGAGACCCAACCTGTGATCTTAAGATGTGCTCAGGCCTGCACCAGCGCCACTCACCGTGCACTCTGCCCGCTTCCTGCTTCTCTGGGGGTTGTGTCTCCCCATTGTGCACGTATCCTCAGCCTGCAGCTGAGATGTTTGCTCCACAACCTTCGGGGAGAGATCTTCTTTTGAGCATGTGTGCATGCTCGGTGCGTGTATAAAAATGTCTTTGTGTCCTCCCACTGTGTCCCTGGACCCTCTGAGATGCAGTTGGAACCTGAGCTGTCCTCGGGGTGTACGTGGCAGTGTGGTTCCAAAGGTGTGGCTGATGCCACATTCCCCAAGGACAGAGCAGATTGGGCTAGCACTGTGGAAGTGCACGCAGATCAGGGGGCTCCCAAGAGGGCCATCTCGGGCCCAGGTGCAGAAGAAGGCAGAGCATGCTGGCCAGACGTGGGAGGAGCTCAGGGCAGCCCAGGAAGGATGCTCCTTGGTCGTCCATAAGAGAATGAGCAAAACGAAAGAAAGGCTGCTGGTATAAGGCACACAGGGAGGCAGAGCCAGCAGCTGTGCCTGGGTAGTTTTAGCTGAGGTATGAAGGTGAATGGGCCTGAGGTACGCACCACCTGAACCCATTCAGGTTAGAAGAGCAAGGGCACCTTGGCACAGCCTCTTGGGGGATGGATCGCTGAGAACCTGTAGTCGGGTGCAAAAGCGAGCTCCATGCAGGCAGGCTCCTGGCTGTGAGGGGCCCTTGTGAAGAGGGCCTGGTGCTAGGATGTGGGAACCTAGGGGAGGAGCTGTCAGACTCTAACGGCCTGTGTTGTTTTGAGAGAGGCCAGGGCCAGGACCAGGACTTGAGATGGATGGGGCCTGAGGATGAGCAGCAGGTCTTAAAATAGCAGAACTGGGGTCCTAAGCAGGCGAGGTCTGAGACACACCTTCCAGGAAGGGGACTCGGAGGACCCAAGGAAGCAGGAATGAACTCTGGTGGGAAGGGGGTAGCTGCATCAAAGGTGTAAACATCAGCTGAGGTTGAGGACCCTTGGTGGCATCAGCTACAAAGTGGCACCCCTGTGTGGCATAGACATCCCATGAACTCCCCAGTGGGGCACAGATGCCCATGCCCCTCTCCTTCCCCAGGGTTTCTGAGCAGCCCTGTGCTGGGCCACCCTTACTCTGAGGAGCCTGAGGCCCATGGAACCTGCAAGGAGAGCCTGGGAAGATGTGCATGGACTGGGTGGGTGCCAGTGTACAAGTCTTGAGGTGTCGGAGCTTTGGGGACCAGAGCTCTGCCTGGAGTCCCTCTGGCTGCCTGGCAGCCCATAGCCTGCCCGGCTCAAGTCCTGACTTAATGATCCTTCTGAAGCAAACCTGAGGCAAACAGTGGGCAGTTTTCCCTTTCCCCCTGATGTTTGTGGGGAGGAAAACCTCGGAATCATGTTGCTTTTTGTCTGTTGGTTTGTTTTGAACATCTGTACACTTTCTTTTAGTAAAGGAGATTGGACAGTTCTGAACGATACGGGAGAAAGAATCAGAACATGTTGGCTTCATTTCCAAACATAAACATCACCTGTTTTCCCTAGCTGGGAAAGGTGGGCGAAGGAAAGGGCTGCAGGCCTCGTGGGTACCCCAGAAGTTAGGAGAGGCAGACAGGGGTGCAGCCACCTCCTCTCCAGGTAGGCCCAGCAGGGACATGCTGTCTCCCTTCAGGGATCTCCATATCACCCCCACCCACCACCAGTGTGCCTTTTAATCTGAGGCAGCCCTTCCCTCCCATCTCCTGTCCAACACGTAGGGCTCGATTGCAAGCACAGGGGTGATTCTGTATCTTTGACAAGGTGGCATCCTTGAGGGGGGAACCGTTGATGCTGGAGGCCCCCAGCCCAGCTTACCTGACTTGATCGTCAACCAGAGGGTGCAAAGCCCCCTGTTATCCTTCTCAATGTGGCCCACCTGCCTGCTTCCTGTCTCCTCTTCCCAGGCACCTGAAGGAGATCTCGGAGCTGCAAAGCCAGCAGAAGCAGGAGATTGAGGCCCTGTACCGCCGCCTGGGCAAACCGCTACCGCCCAGTGTGGGCTTCTTCCACACGGCGCCCCCCACCGGCCGCCGGAGGAAACCCAGCAAGAACAAGCTGAAGGCGGGCAGGCTACTGAACCCCCTGGTGCAACAGCTCAAGGTCGTGGCCTCCAGCACAGGTTGGCCCACCTGCCAGGTGGAGGGCTGCATTGCCAGCACAGACATAAAGGGGCTGGGAGAGGCTCCAGGGAGGCACTCATGGGTAGGGGCCATTCCCCCTAGACCTGGACAAGGGCTTAAGGTCTTCTTTCTGGACCTGCTTCTTCTGGAACAGGACAATCACTGCCGGCTGAGAAAAGCCTGGCCTCTGTGGTGGGCACAGAGACAAGGCCTGAGTGTGGGTAAGGGCAGCCCGTGTGCCTCAGAAGCTCCAGGCCCCCCGCCTTCTCCCCTCCTACCCCATAAGCCCTGGAAGGGACAGCTCGTTTACCCCCAGTTTTCAGGCCCGTGCCACCCCGTCTGCTCAGGGGGGACTCAGTGGCTGCCTTTAAAGGCAGGGGCAGTGGAAGATGGGGACAGCTTCCTGGCTTTGTTAACACAGCGCTTGGCCACTGTGATGGCACTGGCCTGGCCAGGCACTCATGTCCTTGCATGCAAAGAGCTCCTGCAAGGCCTTCGGAGCAGCACTTGCAAGGTGAACTGAGCTATGCCAGGCAGGAAACTAGCAACAGCCAGCTGATCACCAGTTCATGAGCTGCCCAAGTTCCATGAATTCGGTGCCAGTTCCTCAGCTTAATTTGTGGAGATTAAGTCATGTGAGTGTTGTGTGCGGATCTCTTTAAGCCAAGGTGTGTCAGCTTTGGCCACAGGGATAGCACACGTCCGGCAAGGGCTTGGTGGAGGCTAGGCACGTCCATTCGTCATCCCCCTTACTCCCGAGGGGGAGATTCAGCCACCCTACCCATTGTCTCTGGGAAGCTCTGAGCTTCCTCAACTTCACCCGGTAGAGAAACAGGGGACACAGCCCCATCCCATGCCCTCCCCTGCCCGGTGGCGCTTCATGGTGCCTGTCGCCTCTTCTCCCCTCTGCCCAGGTCACTTGTCTGACTCCAGCAGAGGCCCTCCCGCTAAGGACCCTGCCCACGTCAGCACGCCCCTGTGCGCCAAGGCAGTTCAGACCCAGCAGCCCTGCTCCGTTCGCGCCTCCCTGTCCACGGACATCTGCTCCGGCTTAGCCAGTGACGGAGGCGGAGCGCGTGGCCAAGGTGATTCCAGTTTGCCTGTGTCCATCCAGCATGTGCCGGCCGTGTAGGGCTCAGTGGTGTCCAGGAGCACGCCCCTATGTGCAGAGGGTTTGTGCGCTGCGGCAAAGGCTGCTGGGCGGCTTCATAGAAGAGGAGGCAGAGGATGTAGGCTTTAGAAGAGAGGATGGGATTGCCCACCCCACCCCACCCCACCCCTTGCCAGATTGCTGTAAGCAGCCCGAGGCTGGTAATGCGTTAACAGAGCCAGCCTGGGGGACCGTGGCCAGGACCAAGGGCACTTGGCCCAATGATGGGAGGGCATGGGGCCTGGCATCACACCGTATGACATGGCACCAACCAGCTGTCCCCTACTCCTTGCCTGCTCCCGTAGTAGAGTTTGGGATGGAGCAAACCTCCATGTCCTTCCCAAGCCCAAGGAAGGGCAAGCCTGGGTGAAGGAGGGCTCAGCTCTTAGCCTGGGAGCATGGCCCAAGGAGGAAATGCTGTCTTCAGTGCCGCCGCCATGGCTGGATCAGGCGCTCTCCTGGCCTCACCATCCCTGCCCAGGTGCCTGCCCCCTCCCTCCCCGGGCCATTCCTCTCTGCTGCTCCCGTGGTTTCCTCCCCATGCCGTCTCCGTGCCATGGTGCTGGGCTGGACTAGGTGCAACCGTGGATGTTAGATGTGCCGAGGCTGGTGTGGCTGTTGGTTACAGAGGAGCAGGTGCAGCAACTTTACTTGATGAGTGTCTCTTTGTTTTCTTCCCTCTATATTCATTTGCAGGCTGGACGGTTTCCCACCCAACGTCTGAGAGAGGGGCCTATAAGTCTAGTAGCAAGCCTCGCGCTCGATTCCTCACTGGACCCGTATCTGTGTCCATCTGTCTGTATTTGTTCTTTTGTATTTTATCACCTCCCAGCCCTTGGTTTCTCCTCCCCCACACCCCAGCCCCCCGTCTTCATTCCCTCTCATGCATTTCAGAGGATGCCTCCTCCCCTATCCCCAGAAGCTACCTCTGCAGTGTCGCAGGGGGAACCCCCCCAGCCCTTCCCTGGAACACCCTGGTCGGCTCGCGTGCATGCTCTTGGCTGCGCCCGGGCACCAAAAGCATGCGCAGCGGCTCGCTGCCTCCGCCCCCAAAGCACCTGTGCCACACCTGTCAGGGTGCCTTGCATTGTTTTCGTCGCCTCATTTATTTCATTTTTTTTTTTAATGTTGGACGTAGTTTGGTTTCTTTTTTGCTTTTCTGTTGCAATTGTGGCAAGTATCCATGTCCACTGCCCCCAGTTTTCCAGTGACAACCCAAAGGCAGCCCTCAGCCTCCAGACGTGCGGTGTTTCCCCACGTGTCTGGACCCTTAAGATGTGCATGTAGCAGGCCGGTGCCATCCAGGGGCTCCCTGGAACATGAGTCCAACCCCCAGCCGGCAGGCTTCCAGCACCCCACTCCGCATGGGTGGACTTGCTGGAGAACAGGTGCCTTACCCGGGCTGTCTTGAGTCCCCTCTATGCCTGCACAGGAAGTCCTAGAGCCTCCCACAGTCATTCCTCATCCTGTGCACCCTTCAGCTCCAAGTGCAGTGGTGAGGCCCTCCCCGCAGCTCCCCAGGAAGGCCTGTGCCCTGCCAGCCTCCTCTCCTTATGTGTCCAGCCAGAGCACACTGCTGGCTGCGTTGTTCTTTGACCCCCACGTGACCTCATGGGTACTCATTGATGCGGGTTCCTCAAAAATCTTCCGAACTCAGGGCCAGTTCAGGCTGTTTCTGGTCCTGGTCCCTCTGGAACCTGCTCCTGCCCCCGGTTCCCGTATCCCAGGCACGCACACTTGCTTGCAGCCACCCAGAACTGTGGCATTTTGTTTCAGACTTTGAGCCTGATTGGCAAGTACATCAAGATCTTGTGGAGGTTTGAGCTTTTTAACCTTTTTAATAGGACAAAAAAAAGAAATGAAGCTTTTGGACAATTGGCTTGGATATGCTGGTGTGGGGCACACTAGTACAACAAAGATACATTGTGCTTGTGGAACCGCAGGCTATGTCCTGGGTGGATGCTGTTGCTGCCAGCCCCACCCAACCTTCCTGTCAGAAACCCTCATGGGTCATCGTCACTGACGCAGTGATGACAGGACACACAGGGCAGGCTGGGTGGAAGGCTTTGGCCATAGCGTCACATGGTGGTCTTGTGCGTGGGTCTGGTTAGTTGTGTGGAGGACAGGGCGGGGCCAAAAGTCCCCTACTCCCCTTGCTGGGGCTGCTGGCCCCTGCCTACTTTACACTTCTCTTGTTTTGGTCTTGTGTGTGTTTACGTGCACCTGTGGCTTGCACTGGGGTGAGACCTGTTGGGTTCTAACATCTCTAGTCCCTGGCCAGTGCTGCCCAGTGTTGGGGGTGCCCAGTGGTGTGGACTGCAATGGTAGCTGAAACACACCCAGCCTTTGTTTTTATGAAAGGTTTCTCCTGGTGTTACCTTTGCCGATGTATGTTGTTTTTGTAAATGAAGCATGGAATGGGTGGTGGATTCAGGGTTTAGCTGTGTTGCTGTGATGTTGCTGTGACCGGGAGGTAGAGCTGTGTTGGCAGGCCTGCCACCTGCCACACCCCATGATGTGTATGTTGCTCCTGGTTTCACTGCCTGGCCCCTTACAGACCAGCTTTGGCTGAGACCTGCTCTGTCTGTCAAATGTCTACTCCCAGGTGGAGCATTGGGGAGAAGTCAGGTGGACTGCGGCCTGGGCTGGGAAAAGAAGCCTGGCCGCCAGGTCAGCCCCGGGCCCCAAGCTCCTTCAGCTGCCCCCCTGCCCTGTGTGCCACCGGCCTCTCAAGGCTGCCTCAGTTAGGGCTTCTTATCGAGCCTTTGCCATTTGTGTGTCACCTCTGTGGCTTCCTGGGTAAAGCCCAAAGGGACTTTGGAGAGCCGTCAGCTCTGCAGGGAGTTCCAGCCTGGAAGCCAGGCCACAGGGGTGTGGAGTAGCTGAGGACTCTGGGTCAAAGGGACACGGTTGGCTGGGTGTGGAGGTTGAAAGGTTGAGCAGGACGTTGGCTGCCTCGGGCACCATGTGATTCCATGGCGGGGGCATGGCAGCAGGACATCCACATCCCTGTGTGTCCTGTCGGCTTTGTGCATCCAGGTGTGGCACCTGGAGAAAAGACCACCAGCCCAGCTGAGCAATCCCCTACCACTAGTCCACTGCCTTGATTTGGGAGCCCCTCTCCTCCTTATTTTTGGAAAAGCCTGCAAGAAAGCAAAATGCACAGAATTTTGAAGTCCCAAAAGGAGTTTCCTGGCAGGGTAGGGTGGGGCCAGGCCCCTGTAGCAGATGGTTCCAGAAGCCAGAGTGACCTTATGTGGAGTGCTAAGACTGGTTTCCTACCCCAGCAGTGGGGTGGAGGGTGGGCTTCAGGCAGTGGGGTCCTGAGTGGCTCCTTGCCCCTGGCTGAGGCCCTCAGCTTAGACTGCATCCGCTGGGTGTGTCCTAGTGGGCGCCGGACATGCGTGGAGGCATATCCTGAGGGGTGACGAGTCAGAGGCTGTGTTCCCACTGCTCGCTGACCTGCCTCACTGGTGGGCACTAACACCCTTGCAGACCCTACTCGGCATCAGGAGTTGTGGGTCTTTCACTACCCTGTCAGCTCCCGCATGTTTGACCTGGGGACCCTCATATGGGAGAGCGAATGCTCCGCCAGTTCTCCTGGGCAGGGGTGCCCTGGGAAGAGGGATCCTGATCTCTCATCCCACCCCTACAAAGAAAAAACAAATTAGTCCCCATCTATGTCCTGGTGGGGTGCATCCTGCTGCTGTGAGCTAGCAGGGCCAGCTGATGTGTTATATAAGCTTATGTAGCTCAGGCTGCCATGAAAATGTCCCCATTTGCTCAGCAAACAGGCATGGTTGCGCGCACGGACATCCCAGGGCGTGTGTGGGCCCTGGAGAGGAGCACCAATGGCGCTGTCCAGCAAGGCTGACTCCTGAGGCCGTGTGGTGTGGTATTGAGCAGGCCACCTGGAGAGGGGCACCGATGGCGCTGTCCAGCAAGGCTGACTCCTGAGGCCGTGTGGTGTGATGTTGAGCAGGCCACCTATCAGGGTTGCTGTTCCAGACGTTGCCACAAACACTGCAAAGTGAGGAGCTGCTCCTGGGCCTGACCTACTTTTTTTTAAAGCACTACCTAAGCCCAAAACTAGAGACCATCTTTTTTTTTTTTTTTTTCAAGATTTGTTTATTTTTATTACATAGAGGAGGAGAGACAGAGAGGAAGATCTTCCGTCCAAGTGAGTGCAATGGCCGGTGTGGCGCTAATCCAGAGCCGGGAACCAGGAACCTCTTCCAGGTCTCCCACACAGGTGCAGGATCCAAAGGCACTGGGCCATCCTTAACTGCTTTCCCAGGCCACAGGCAGGGAGCTGGATGGGAAGTGGAGCTGCCGGGATTAGAACCGGTGCCCATATGGGATCCTGGTGCGTTCAAGGAGAGGACTTTAGCCGCTAGGCCACGCCACTGGGCCCCTGACCTACTTTTTAAGAAAATTCCCTATTTGGAAGGCAGTCAAAGATCTTCTGTCTGCTGGTTCATTCCACAAATGACTAACTGAGGCTGGGTCTCAGAGCCCTGCAGGGACTCGAGCCACTTGAGGCATCGCTTGCTGCCTGCCAGTGTAGCGGGAAGCTGGAGCGGCAGCAGAGCCTGGACTTGCATGCCCCGAGTGGTGCCTGCATCATTGCACCTGGTGCTCACCCTGTGACCCACTTTTAAGTATTGGCCTCAGGCTTTGAGTCCTAGTATATGTTACAATAGCTGGGTGGCGGCTACCACCTCCAGAACCTGGGCTGACCTGCTTCAGGCCCTTCTGCTTCCTGCTGGGCTGCCTCCAGGGCAGCAGGGACCCAAGGTGCTGATTCCAACCTAGGCTGGCAGGAGAGCTTGTCCATCAGATGCCCTCCATGGGGTGCACCTTGAGGCTGTGGCCAGGTCAGGTGTCTCCCCATCCTAGAGAGATGGCTGTATCCCTGAAGCCTCAGAGCAGCAGGGCCTGTAAGGTGAGGGACCTGATCCATTTGTCCAGAGGCCAAGAGCCTTCTGTGCTGTGGTTAGCCTGCAAGTCCATGGCTGTTTCTTCCGCTAATCTTTGTCCAAGACAGCCATGGTGGGAAGGGCTCAGCCTGGAGCCTGCCCAGGATGGCTGTGGTGCTATTGGATCCCCTGGGCCCGTATCCAGGAAGGCTGTGGCCGTGGGAGCCAGCTCTTTGGTCACTTGGGGGTTATGTCCAGGAATGCTGTTGCGGGGCCCTCATGGGTTCATGTCGTCTTTGGTTGTGAAGATACATCCTTGGGACCCCAAGGAGGTGAGAGACAGTTCTGGGCAGAGGCCCAGCTGTCTGTGGTGGCGCCTGGGCAGCAGCTGGCATCTGTGGTGGTCTTCTAGCGTTGAGGGTGGCCAGGAGCTAGTTAGGAACACCAGAGTTTCCAGCCCCATCTAGAGATCCATGCAGGCTTAGGTAGCCTTTCATGCCCCCTTTGTGACATCTAGGCCAAGGAACAGAGTATGACCACAGTCCCTCCATCTTAAGGCCATCCCAGGTGAGAGGGGACACTGCAGTCTAGAAGGGTTCTGATACTTCCTGTGCCAGACGGGCTAGCGGCGGGTGTCAGTACCTTTCCTGGATCTGAGTTGTGGCCATGGTCACCGGGTCCCCTGCCTTGCTATAGCAAGTGGTCCACATTCCCTGTGTGCTATGGTGTGCCCCAGGGGGACATCAGCCCTGCATATCTGTGCCAAGTCTGTGGGATGACAGCCAGCAAGGACTTGATCTGTAATACCTGTTCCACCTCCACCATCCCAGAGCTGGTCTGTCTGGATCCCTTGCCCACCTCCTTCCTTTTTTCTTGAACATTAAGAAACTGGCAGAATTTTCAGCGTATGTTTCCCTACAGTGGCCTCAGAGGACATGTGGCATGAGCTCAAAGTTGGTTTGAGCTAGGTTTGCAAGTCCAGGGTTTGCAACCTGAATGAGCTCAGGTCAGATGCGGAGAGCCACCATCCAAAGGTCTCCCTGCTCTGTCCATGTTCAGATTGCTGCCTTTTGGTGCGAAGAGGGCTGCACAGGTGCACCCACTTTGGGCAGTATGACATCAGGGGACAGGAAGACCCTCTATGCCAGCGTGGCCTTGCTGAGTGACCTTGGGGGAAGTTGAGGCCTGTATTGTCCATTGCAGCTCTGGCTGTCCAGCAACACCCCCCCCCTCCGGGGGTAGCCAGCAGACAAGTGGGTGTGCCAGCACCCTTCATGCTCCGAGGCCCTGCTGGATGTTGCTTGGTTACCCAGATGCTGGATGCCACCCTGGTCACGGAGAGGCTCAGGGTGCTGGGCAGGTGTGGACTGACCTGTGTAGAGGTGGTCCTGACCACCAGGAGGCTAGGTGCTGCTGCATGTGGAGGTCCCGCCCTGATACTTCTCACTGACCTCACCCACGCCAGCCACCATGGAGCTAGAATGGGCCTAAAACCTGCAAAACAATGTATCTTTTTGCACTTAGAAAACCTCCGTGGTGGCATCCCTGAGCACCCCTCCAGGCCAGGCCGGGATCTGCCTGAGCCCCTGGCTTTGGCTGGGTTTTCCTACCTCTGCCATGGGGCTCCCAAAAGCCTGGTGTTGGAAGGTCAAGTGGTGTGTTTTGTTCCCCTCTGCCCTCCCTTTTTTTTCCTTCTTTTTCTTTTTATTTATTTAGTTTTTTTTTTTTTTCTGGACTATGCTTCTAGAGGCACACACTTCTCCCTGAGGCTTGGGGAGTGGGCTAGTCCCGGCACCCCGTCCCACCCACAGGAGCCTACGCACTCACTTGGGGTGCTGCCTGTTGCCCCAAGCCGGGGGGCCCCTCCTCTCCAAGCCGCTGCCTTGCGTCTTCCCCTCCCTGCACACTGCCGACTCTGGCTTTGGTGTGGTTCGTGTGCCGTGCGTGCCGTTTCGCCTAACCCCAAGGTCTTGTGTCGTTTCTTCTTCCCTTGCAGGGTCAGCCCTGAAGCGTCTGTGCCTAGGCAAAGAACACAGCAGTAGTAATTATCCGGGTTTCTTACCCCCTCTGTCCCCCTCCCCTCTCATCGCATGGGCTTCCCTGTGGCTAGTGCGCGCCAGGGTCCTGCGGCCAGACGGCCTGGGCCTACCCCCTGCCCGCTCCGTGCCCCTCGCCGGGCAGCCTGGCTTCTGCCTGGCAGGACAGCGCCCTCCGGCCCTCGCTGTGTCGCCGTGGCTCCTAGAGTTTGTGCAGTCTCGCCAGTTCGCATCTGACAGGCTTCCCCTTCTTTCTGGAATGCCCACAAATTCCCAATCATTAATTGGCTCCTTTTCCAAAACCGTAGGAATGAGTATTTCCTTGAGGTGTAAGGATGAATTCCCTCCCCACGAGGAGCGATACCAGCACTGAATGGGTATTGGTCTGCCTGGGCCACTCATCTCTCTCTCTCTGGCTCTTTACTTTCTTTTTGTTTGTTTGTTTTCTGGCTGAAAGTTCATGTAGAAATAGCTCCATGTGTGTACGAAATCTCATCACTAATTTTCAGTGTCTGTGTCTGTGCTTTTCCATTGCTAGCCACTAAAGCACACTACATTGTTGGAACAGCTTGTTTGAAGAGTTGGTCATTAGGTGATTTTAAAAAATAAAAAAAAAAAGGCATATGGGGAACTTTTTAATTGGCTTGTTTGAAATTACCAATTGGTAGTTATGTGTGGGATTGGAGAGGGCAGGCTAGGGGACATGACTTTAGAAAATATTTAAATCTCATCTGTCAAAAAAAAAAGAATCTAGCTTTTTGTGAAGCAGAGGCCCACTGGGAAAAGATGCTTTGAATTCCAACTAACTAATGTGTTCAATTCCAAACAATTGATATATTCAGATTCATGGGAATGCAAAATGGCATGGCCTGCCTTCTGTGCCACCTCACTTACCCACAGGGGTCGCTGGAAGGCTGGCAGGTGCTGGCAGGCGGGGGCACCGCTCCCAGCTCCCAACCCAGGCAGTATTTCCCACCACCCCTCTGCCTCCTCTTTAATGCTGAGGCCACGGAAGCCACAGAGCCCAAGGAATCTACCCCTAGTCCCTAAGATGCCGACTCAGATGTGTCAGGCTATGCTACTTTTCCCACATCTCCCACGTGAGCCTGGTGGGATATGGGCAGTGGCAGCAGGCAGAGTGGGTGCTGAGTGAAGGCTGCTGTCCCCTGGCCTGGGTTACGGGATTAAGTGTCAGCTGCATGGCGCCACCCAGTGACCCGCAGCCAAACTGGACAGCTAGGCTCCCTGTGCAGACCGCCTCTTGAAGCAAGGTGTTACTGGCCAAGTTGGGGCCATGGTCTTGGCCATCTCGTGAGAATGACTACAGCCAGCCCCACTAGGGGCACTGGGCGAGTGTGTGTCGTCACCAATCCCGGCCTGTATGTGACTCCCCAGGGTCCTCCACCAGCAGCCTGGCCCCAGGCCCCGACCCAGGCCCCCAGCCCACCCTGCACGTCCAGGCACAGGTGAACAACAGCAACAACAAGAAGGGCACCTTCACGGATGACCTGCATAAGCTGGTGGACGAGTGGACGAGCAAGACGGCAGGGGCCACGCAGCTGAAGCCCACGCTCAACCAGCTGAAGCAGACTCAGAAACTGCAGGAGATGGAGGCCCAGGCGGGCTGGGGGTCTGCCCCCAGCGAGTCCAGAGTTGTGAGTGCCTGCCTACGGGAAAGGGGGGCTGGGCTGGGTGGGTGGCGGCGGCCTCTAGTTCAGGCAAAGTCTTGTGTGTGTGTCAGAGGGACTTCAGAGTAGACACTTGGCACTTATCTGGCTCAGGGTGTCGTGGATCAGGGGCTAAATGGCATCACAACCCTGTGTCCGGAAGAACAAAGGGACAGGAGGAGCTGGAGCTAGGACCTCGGGGTCCAGGTAGCGCCAGCAGCCCACAGACCTACAGCCACCCATGTTCCCAGGCTGGACACAAGGGCAGGGATGCTCAGCGCCTTAGGTAATAGCTTCTCGTGGGCTTGAGCACCGGGTTCCTGGAACCACCACGGGGGAGGGGGAGCTGCTGCTGGCAGGTTTTGGTGGTGTTCTATCAGGATTAGTTATAGAGGGGACCCTTCTGTAGAAGGAGTTCACAAAAAGATGGGCATTGTTTCTATCCTAAATGTTTAGTAGGTTCGTTGCTTAAAGCCTTCCAGGCGGAATTGTTTCTGTTTGTTGTGTGGGAAATTTTCCTGTCTGATATACTTTGGAAACTTTAAGACCCATGGAATAGATTAAAATGTATGTGCAATTCTATACCAGGACACTTTGAAAAGTCAGAAAGGAGCTGTTGCCTGCAGTGCCAGAGCCTGTTTGGGTGCCAGCTCGAGTCCAATTCCCTGCTAATGGCTGGAGTGCTTGGGCCCCTGCAGCCATGTGGGAGACCCACAAGAAGCTCTGAGCTCCTGGCTTCGGATTGGCTCAGCTCTGGCCGTTGTGGCCGCTTGGGGAGTGAATCATCAGACAGAACATCTTACTCTCTGTCTCTCCTCCTCTGTATATCCACCTTTCCAATAAAAGATTTATTTATTTATTTTTATTGGAAAGTCAGATATGCAGAGAGGAGAGACAGGGAGGAAGATCTTCCGTCCGATGATTCACTCCCCACTGAGTGCAGTGGCCGGTCTGCACTGATCCGAAGCCAGGAGCCAGGAACTTCCTCCAAGTCTCCCACACAGGTGCAGGATCCCAAGGCTTTGGGCCGTCTGCAACTGCTTTCCTAGGCCACAAGCAGGGAGCTGGATGGGACGTGGAGCTGCCAGGATTAGAGCTCGTGCCCATATGGGATCCCAGCACTTTCAAGGCGAGGACTTGAGCTGCTAGATCACCATGCTGGGCCCAAAAGTTGCTTATTTTGATACAGAAGTTGAAATGTAAATACATTTGTCATGATGAGCATTTTACATGAACTTTTTGAGGCTCCTCTGTGTACCACGAGCTGACAGTTTGCTGTGTTTATCACATGCTCCATCCCTGGAGTGTGGCATCTTCCTTATGGATGCAGTTTCTTGTACAATTTTACCCAAGCACCATTTGGATTTTTTGTTGTTGTTGGTTTCTTTCTGTGATGGTTTTGCTAAACCCCTGCTGTTCCTCCAAAGTAAACCAGCTTCCACACTGATCGTCGTAGCATTGATTTTTTTATTATTATTATTATTATTATTCTTTTTTATTATGTTACACAGTTTTATAGGTACTGGGATTCCTACCACCCCTCCCATAACCCTCCCCCCATGGTGGATTCCTCCACTGTGTTGCATGACCACAGCTCAAGTTCAGTTGAGATTCCTTCACCTCAAGCACATACCCAGCATGGAGCCGATGCCTTTGATTTTACAGCTCACAACGCCCATCCCTTTCTCATTCCTGATCCTTGGTGACGTAGCTTTCTCACCTCCCTCTCCTTCCTTCCCTCATGCATTCTTTTAGAGGTTTGTAGATTTTATTAGCCATTTCCTGTAACTCATTTTGTCTTTGCTCGTGATATGTTTTAATTCATTTCTTGTGCCTTTATTTTCTGACTTAACCTTATTCTTCCAGAAGTTTAAGGTGTGCAGTTCTAGAACCCTTGTATAATCTAGGCATTTTAATTGACAAAAACCTCCTCTAATGGTTTCTGAGTTGCATTCCAAGAGTTTTGAAATCTAACATTTTATTCACTTTCATTTCAAAATCACTTGTAATTTCTATAGTGGTTTGCATTTCTTTAACTAGCAATTTTTAAAGATTTACTTATTTTTATTGGAAAAGCAGATTTACAGAGAGAAGGACAGAGATATCTTCGGTCTGCTGTTCACTCCCCAAGTGGCCGCAATGGCCAGAGCTGAGCTGGTGCGAAGCTGGGAGATTCTCCCTGGTCCCATGGGGAGGGGACCATCCACTAATGCTTTCCCAGGCCACAAGCAGAGAGCTGGATGGGAAGTGGAGCAGGTGGGACACAAACAGGCACCCATGTGGGATCCCTGCACTTGCAAGGCAAGGATTTAGCCACTGAGTCATTGCATTGGGCCCAGCAATATTCTTTCTTTTAAAATTCCTTATTTACTTGAAAGGTAAGGTTACTAAGACAGACACGTCCAATTTCATTGAGCCTCTTTCACTGCTTTCCCCAGGTCATCAGCAGGGAGTTGCACTGGAAGCAGAGCAGCTGGAAGTTGAACCAGCAACCATATAAGATGCCAACATCACGGGTGGTCGCCCCTAGTTAGCGATTTTCTGTTGGCCCTTCTTTAGTACTCCTTAGTTTGGTTCCTGTGATAAGAGAATTTGTTTTCCATGTCTTCTCACATTACTGAGTGGTGAAATGATGGGATCTTTAATTATTTCTTCTAGAAGATTTATAATTTTGGCTGTTGAGGCCCATAAGCCATCTCAGATTGATTTTTCTGTATGATTTGATGAAGGACCGTGTTTGGTGATTCTGTGTGTTATGGCTGGTTGTTCCAGCCTGGTTTCCGCATTGATGGCACTGGTCCGCCCAGGCATTCATTGGTCAGGTGGTGTAGATGTGTTTCAGTTAGGTTTCAGTGAGTTATAGTAGGACCACACTCTTAATTACTGTAACTGTGTAGTGAGTTTCAGTGGAGAGAGTACCTCAAATGCTAATCTTTAAGAATGTCTTGATTAGTGCCCTGTTACCTGCCCTGGAGGCCTGAAACTGCAGATGGTACCAACCACTGCACACACAGTTTTTTTTTCCCTGCACATACACATGCAACATAGCCTGAATATGCTAAACCAAGTCATGGCGCAGGCAGGACAGAGACAAGTGGTTTGCGATTTACTTCTCAGAATGGCTCAGAGTTTAGAATACGAACTGGCATTTTTCATTTACTATTTCAGGCTGTGGTTGACCACAGATAACTGAAGCCATGAAAAGTGAAAGTTGATCAGTAGTGGGAACACTGCATGTTTTAGGGGCAGCCTGTCTCTCTCCAAGATAGCCCACTCTGATTTCTGTTGGGAGTGCTGTCTTAGCTGTTAAGCAGTGAGATATGATATGTCAACATTGCTGAGTGTTCCTGCAAAGGTGCGTCTCTGCCTTTTAGTTTATCTGGTGAGGAGGTGTTATGTGTCTTTCAGTTCATCTCCGGATGGTTGGCATCTTGAGATATGTTTACATATTTTATTCTTTGGGTTTGATTGTGTAGTTGCACGTCTGTTGCCAGTGTATGTGGTTGCTGGCTTGGCGGTTCGGTTCTAGAAACTGGCTCGTCTGTTCCTGTGGCTTGACTCCATATAGTCTTGTCCTCTGCAGGTCGTCTTCCTTTTGCCTTCTCCAGTCTGAACCTTATTCCTTTACTTGCTGAGGCTGGGAGTCAGCCTGAGTGTATAATAGGACAAGTTCAGGATCCTTGGGGAGCGTGTGGTGTTAAAGGGGGCTTGGCTGTAAGCTCTATGGAAGGCTGCTCGCAGCCTGGCGAGTGTGCCTTCTGTGCCAGCCCGGGGGCTATAGGAGCCCTCTGCACCTACGGGGTTCTTACTGGAGTTGAGCATAGTGATTTTTGGTGGGATAGCAGCCTGGCATTCCTGGGGCAGACCTAGCCAGGAAGAAAAGTTTTGTTTTTTGGGTTTTTTTTTTGTCAGTTGCTGGATTCCACTTGCCAACATTTTGAGTGTTGGAAGCCACTGCCCTGTGTGTTCCTTTCTTGTGGCAGTGTCCCTGGATGTCTGTCTCAGGCCATGCTGGCTTTGCTGAGCCCCTGGCTGGTCTTCTGTCCTTCTTGGCCTTTCCACTAAGAATGCAAGGGAAGGGCTGCCTTGCCCTCCTGTTCTGCCCAGGCACTGGTCTTCCATAATGGCACTGTTTTGGTTTTTGGGCTTTTATCCTATAATGAAATTCCTGAAAGGCTGACTTGATAAAGAAAAGAGGCTTATTCAGAATGTGCACAGCTTTGGAGGCCAAAGCCCAGGATTGAGTGGTTTCATTGGTAAAGCCTCTAGTGTGAGCCTGCCAGCAGAGGGAGGGAATGACCTCGTTGCAGTGCAGGAAGCCAGAGAGACTGGGATCCCATGGTATCTTTTAAGGGCATCTCCCAGTGACAGGAGATCTCCTATTGGGCCTTACTTCTTAAAGATTCCGCCTTGCCATGTCACTACACTACAAAAGACCAGGCCTCCAATGCATAAATCCCTCCCCTGGAGGGACAATTGAACCACATCGCTGCCATAGCAGCAGTCCAGCAGGAGGCCTGGCTGTCAGCTGAGTGGAGGGGTGGACTACTCTGCCCATAGGGACCAGCTGCTGCTGTGGCCTAGTTGGCCTGGCTGTGTAGCATCTCCTTGGTGCCAGCCCTGGGAATGTTGGCCTGCCATGGGCAGGGTCCACTCTCTTCTGAGGACGGACACCTCAGGGAGCCCGGGAGCCAAAAGGGCAGGCCAGCCAATGACAGCCTTGTGTACTCTGTCCTCTGTTTCTGTCCCACAGATGCCAACAGCTCGAGCAGGAATGGGGACAGCATGTCTGGCCCCAGTGCCCGGCCCTCTGTGCACTGCAGCCATTCCTGGAGCCATCCCAGCCCTGCCTGTGCCCACACCAGGTACTGCCTGCCCCAGCCTCCCCACTCTGCCCTATGCGCTGCCTCTGGGTCAGTACGGAGGCCTGATCCCAGTGCCTGTGTCCTGGGGGCCTTGGGCAGCCCAGAGTAGCCCAACCATGTTGCCAGCATTTCTGTGGCCATCTGCGATCAGCGTTCCTGCCTCTCGGCTCCGCATCACATAGCCTTGTGCCCTGCCACTGGCCGGAGTGAACGTGCTGAACTGCTCAGGGGAAGCGGGTTGTGCTCTGGCCCTGTGTCTCTCCCTGGTCCCCTAGGCACAGGGCCAGCCACGAGGGTGCAACGCACAGCAGCCAGATTTGATTTTGCTGATGCTGTGGGCCCCTTCACTGTCAGTTCCCCACGCTCTTCACACCCACTCCCTGTCCTTCAGCTCATGGTTAGCACCATGTCATCACCTTCCAGGAGTGCAGGGTCTTGATTGCAGCATTTCCTGATGGGAGGAGGTATTAAAAAAAAAAAAAAAGTATGAGAAAAGGTATGTTATTGACAACTGGCCTGAATGTTGATGTCTTCATTTACTATGTGGAGTTGTGTTAGTGTAAAACTTCCCAAGCTGATCTTTGGTTAGTTTTTTTGGTTTTTGGTGTTTTTTTAAGAAAGTGGGGGAGGGGGGGAACTGAAATTGTAATCTTGGTTGTTGAAGAGCTGCGCATGCTAGGCCAGCCGGACTAGGTCCTCAGTCGGGGCAGGCTCCTTGCCTTGCTTCATGGCCAGGTTATTCAGGAAGGAGCATCAGCAGTGAAGCTGGTCTCTGAGGAACCTACTAGAAACTGCCCAGTGAGCAAAGCCTTCCGTAGCCCAGGGCTGGGCTGTAAGCGCACAGGTTCAAAAACTCCCTGCACCTGCCCCTGTACCCAGCAGGCTGAGCACTGCCCCCTCCTGGCTACTTCCCTTCCTTGTCCATGATTTCCAGGGGGGCCTGCTGACCACAGGCTCCTCTTCTGGAGATTTGCATAGGCATGGTCTCTGATAGGCACACGGCAGCCCTGGGTGTGGGTGAAGCCCTCGCCTCCACCACAGGCGGATGCTTCCTGCTGGAAGGCAGCCCACTGTGTACTCAGGGGTTCTGCTGTGCTTAGAGCTGGGACCCATGGAATTATTTTGGTTTAAATACACGCTTCCACCGATTCAGTCAAGGTTGGACTTCGTACGTCATTGTGCAGCCTTTGGTTAGGCAAGACACTGTGACGAGACTTCCCTTCTGTGTAACGGGGTGGTGCCCTGAGTCCTCCCTCTGAGGGATGGAGGCCATGCACCCCTCCCTCGGCCTGAGTCCTTTCCTCACATGGGACGGGAGGGGTGTGGGGAAACCTCATGAGACTGTACATATGAAGGAGAAAATAAATATCTGTGCTTGAAAACACTGTGGAACATCTTTTTCTTGTCCTCTGTCCATGTAAAACCAGTCTGCAGGAAGGATGGAAACATGTGCCTTCAGACAGGCTAGAGCGTGCTATAACTCAGCTCTGTGCCCACAGCCTTGCCCTTTGCATTATACAGAAGGGAATACGGGTGCTGGGGAGGCTGAGGAGGCTAAGGAAGCAGCCAGGCTGCACACAGCACAGAGAATAGAGAGGCTACCTGCCCCCCACCTCCCATGCTGCTCTGGCCTGGTGGGGCCAGGCCCCAAGGATGCTAGCCTGCACAGAGCTGTGCTCCCAAGTGCAGATAAAGGGGAGTGTCATGTGGTCAGCTGTAGGCCTCTGACCCGTATACACTGGGGCTGCCCTCCAGCATGCCAGGTTGCAGACCCCTCGTTTTATCCTGGAGGCTGGGACACCTCCATCATGAGGCCTTGGAGGCTGGGTCACCATCATTTACCTGAGAGGTGCTGGTCTTCTGGTAGGGCAGTGACCTTATGAAATACGGTGAGTTGGGGAGAGGCCCCTCTGTGGGCATCACTGGCTAGCTGTTCCCCCAGCGGCCTCGCCCAGAGCACCTTCCCCTCCTGATTCCAACTGAGGGTCTTGGTGTCTCCTGCTTGTCCAGTTGGGGTTGGACACCTCTGCTCAGGACAAGAAGGACCTGTGTGTCCCAGAGCCAGTGCCCCTGCAGCTTCACTTAGTGACTTGGTGGTTGGGCCATGCGGGAGCCAGGTTGGCCTGGTTTGGGCATTGCCGTGCCATCTTTGCTTCAGGCATCTCCTGGGAGCGCTGGCCATATGTCAGGGTCAGGGTCAGGCTCCCAGTGGAGGCCGGCACCCAGGCAGCCAGCTAACCAGCTTGTGGCGCTCTTGTTTTCTAGGTCCTGAGAGTGAGAAGCCCGACTGAGTTGGCCCCGGATGCCAGGCCCAAGTTGCGTCGTCTGAGCCGAGAGGTGACCGACATTCAGGGCCAGCCGCTCTTGCGTCCGGTTCACGCTGTTTTGTAACCACTTTCTAAGCATTTTGTATTCACGATTGGAAACACAAACCTAACGCAAGAATAAAACATATTTTCGGGGAGAGAGGACTTTGGCTGTCACACTCTCTCCTTTGGCTGGCCTTGGATTCACAGATTGCCCCGTGGAGGCAGGGTGGAGACACGCGCAGGGTTTGGTGTCCCCAGGCAGCCCCTTCTCTACAGCACCCACCTGCTCTGGCCGCCACAGGCACAGGTGCCCCTTTGCTCACGCGAGTGTGAGCTGCTCAGCCTGCCTGTGCTCTGTGAAGGCCTATGGTGAACTTCTTACCAGTGTCCACACAAATATACCAGTAGGGAAGGCACAGGAGCTGAGGCACGTGGCCGCTGGCTCCCAGGCAGCTGTGCCCCAAGGCAGGGCATTGAAACAGACGGATACAGTAGAAACAGCTCCATGACCTGTCTGGGCAGGGAGGAACTGAGACTCGAGGCTAGCATTTGGAGGTCTCGGGCATCGTGATGGGGAGGAACATATCTTGACTTTCACGGTTCTCTAACTGCGACTTAGCATCTCCTGCGGCGGGCTTCGTCTCTGCAGGAGGTGTTGGATGCTGCGATGGTAAGGTGGCAGCCAGTATCCCAAAAGATAATCTGTACTCCTAAGGACAAAGTGCCCAAGTCTGAGAGTTCACTACTGCCCAGGTGGCTGACAGCTGGCAGGCTTCATCCTGGATGTCAAGTCTTGAGAACACAGCAATGTATTCTGGGAAGCTGTGGGCTCAGACTCTTGAGTTTGGGGAGGAATTCTGGAAGGGATTGGTGGGATTCCAAGAGAAGGACTCGGAGGTAATCCTGGGGACCCTGGGTGCCACTGAGTGGCAGAGGAAGGCGGGCATGCTGGGTAAGTGTGGGTGGACTTCTGACGGCTGTCTTCCCCTGTGTGGTGAGCCGAGGGCCATGTCCACAGGCCCTTAGGAATGTTGTTGCCTACGGTGGCTGCTTGTCATGGGTTTGGCTGTCTTGCTGGCTGCCATGACATACCTCATATTTATTTAAAGCGATCTCCATTTAGCAAGCAAGCAACACTGGTGCTAACAGTAAGACTTGGTGGTAAAGGGGTATAGGAGACCTGTAAAGTGATTATGTAATTGTGTGTGTGTGTGTACATATATGCATGTGTGTATACATATGTGGGTATATACGTGTGTGTGTGTGTGTGTGTGTGTGTGTACATATATGCATGTGTGTATACATATGTGGGTATATACGTGTGTGTGTGTGTGTGTGTGTGTGTGTGTGTGTGTGTGTGTGTGTGTGTGTGTGTGTGTGTGTGTGTGTGTGTGTGTGTGTGTGTGTAGTCCCTGCACAGCAGAAGTGTTCCTAGGTGACCTTAGGAGCTCTTAGAAGCCAGGACCTCCCAAGGCCCATGCTGCCTCCCAGATTCCCGGGCCTCTGATTCCTTTGTTGCTGTGTTCATTTGGAAAGGGAGAAGTTCAGGTGGATCCACTGGATGTGCTGAACAGGTGCTCACCCTGCCGCACAGAGCCTCCCGCTGCCTGTAAGTCATTCTGTGAGGGCTGCATGCGCAGCGCCCTGCCTGGGCCTGGCTCACCCCTTCTACGTGAGTGTTGCCCTCTGGCAGCAGCTTTCAGCAGTCACGTTGATTCTTGTAGGTGGGGCAGAAGGCGTGGACGCGCAGCCGCCATCCTCTGGCTGCTGGTTTATATCTTCCTGGTTTTGGGGGCTGTGCACATATGCATCCTACCGCTGCTCAGCTGCTCAAAAGCTCCCGGCAGGCTCCTTTCCCCAGGGTCTCCCAGATGAGCCTCAAGGCCTGTGAGTAAGCCTCAGCCTCAGCCTCAGGCATGTCCTTGTTTTGGGGGTTACCTTCCACGAGCCCCTCCAGCACCCTTCCCCCCACTCCCCAGAGGTGGGCCTCACATCGCCTGCATCCTGTCGCCTGCTTAGGGTGGGGCCCTCAGCCCTCCTGGAGAGGTCACAAACATGTGACTTACTTATTACAGTCAATGTTGAGCATCCCATGGATGGGCGCCTTCTGGAACAGTGGTCATCACAGAGCTTGGCCAGGACACAGTGGAGCGTGGCAGCGCAGTCACACTCCCTTTGCACAGAAGGAGCTTGCAGCGGTGGTGGAGAGTTTGCGTCGCTTTGGTAGCATCCCACAGCTGTTGTGTGGGTCCAGCTCAGGCATCCCAACCCCCTCCTGCATGGTCCAGATGGCCGTTGTCCACCTGGTATCTGCCATGTAGAAACGCCTTGTTTGCAGAGTGAAGAGTTTCAGTTCTTACTAAGAGCTGGTCAGTGCCCTGTGACCTGGGAATGCAGTTAAGTATCTGCAAGGATTCCACATAGCTGAGGTTATGCCATATGACATCCATGCTTCCTGGTCACAGACATCCTCGTGGCATAGCCTAGGGGCCCAGCCTTGACTTCTTTGGTCATTTCTTTGAGAAAAACAAAATGTGTGTCTCACACTTCCAAGGTGCCCAGCATTGAGCAGGTCTCATTCTGAGGCCTCTTCCCTCGGTTTGGGGGGCTTCCTTCCCACTGTGTGAGTCCTGGGCGGCCAGAGCAGTAATTGTTCTGCCTCTCTCCTAACAGGACACAAAGCTTGGCAGACCAAAGACTTAGTTGTGAAAAGGCCCCATGTCCAGCCACACTGACCTTCAGTGGAGGGATCTGGGCCAGGGGTTGGAGGAGCAGGATGTAAACGGCCTGTGACATTCACAAGGCTTATGAAGTATTCCTGGCTCATAATGCATCTGCAAGGTGGACGTGCTCCTGGGCTCTGCTTGCATGCGTAGACAGGAAGCACCCAACTTACAGTGGTTTGACATACAGTGGGGTGAGTGATGTGCTCCGCGAGGCACCGTGCTTGGAAGGCTGTGTTTGTGTCTGTGCAGTCTGATCCAACAGTGCTCCTGTGCAGCAGCAAGTGAGGCTCCAGGTCAGCCCCCGTCACGAGGGGAACAAGCACGGCTGTGCAGAAGATGCGGGATATCGGTGCATTTCAAAGCCCAACTAGAAGTCAGAGAAAGTTTACTTCGGGACAAATACTAAGTGAATACCCAGTGTATGTACAGAGAGAGGGAGGGATGGGGGAGGAAAAGAGGCAAGACATTAACGGGAAAGAACAACAGAGAAAAGGACCTGCTTCCTTTCCAGGGCCCTACGGAGGCTCGTGAGATGGAGTCTGTACCAGTGTGGCCCAAGCCTAAAGCCGCATGAGGAGCCACGGAGGGCAGGCGTCAGCAGTGAGCACAGCAGGCCGGCTGCACAACTCAGTCGCACGGGAATGCTGGAAAAACAAAGGAGAACCAAGAACAGACTTCAATAAGCACCGAATTGCTTACAGTAGACTTGAGCCTTGCTGTGTGACTGTATCTGGTGATGGTGCGTTAACAGGCAATCACATCAGCGACATTGGACCAGGAGTGTGAGACAGGGGTGAAGGTGCTGCTTGGGATGCTCACGCCCTCTTCACACTGCCTGCACTTTGCGCGCAACTTCCTGCCGCTGAGCACGCTGGGAAGCAGCAGGTGTTGGCTCCATGCTTGGGCCTCTGCCATCCGTATGGGAGTCCTGGATGGCATCTTGGCTCCTGGCTTTGATCTGATCTGGCTCTACAGGATATTTGCAGAGTGAAGCAGTAGGTGGAGAATTTCTCTCTGTCTCCCTCTTTCTTTGTCACTCAGTTCTTCACATTAATAAACAGAGATCACAAACTACAATTAGTCTGCGTAGGGTTCTCAATGAAAAAAACTGATTCCTGGGAAGTGTGGGTCAATTAGAGAAGGTAACTGACTTGCATTGTGGAAACAATGAGAAGGAAGACGAGAAATGTTAGAAGAAATAACTGCTGGGAATTTTCCAGAATTATTGACAGACATCAAACCAAACTTTCCGTAGTTTGAGACGAATACCAAAAGCATCTCCAGGTGGGCCTCCAGAGAACTCCGAAAATGACTGAAGCTTGAATAAACCATCACAGAGAAACAAGGACAGGAATGAAACCAGCTCACTCCTCAGAAACCGGACAAAGCAGAGAACTTGGGTGATATTTAAAATGTTGAATGGAAAAATCACCAACTTAGAATCCTATGCCTGTGAATATTACCCTTAAAAAATGGTGCCAAGATGAAGAATTTTTTAAGACAAAAAGGGAAACGAGGGGCTTTGTTAAGTAGATTTACTCTGCAGTAAGTGTTCTGAAAAAACCTTCAGGGCCTAGCACAGTGGCTTAGTGGCTAAAGTTCTCTCCTCGAATGCACTGGGATCCCATATGGGTACCAGTTCTAATCCCGGCAGCCCCACTTGCTGTTTGTGGCCTGGGAAAGCAGTTGAGGATGGCCCATAGCCTTGGGACTCTGCACCCATGTGGGAGACCTGGAGGAAGTTCCTGGCTCCTGGCTTCGGATCAGCATAGCATTGGCCGTTGTGCTCACTTGGGGAGTGAATCATCAGATGGAAGATCTCCCTCTCTGTCTCTCCTCCTCTCTATATATCTGACTTTCCAATAAAAATAATAAATCTTAAAAAAAACCTTCAGAGTGGAGGGAAGTGATACTGGTCTCCATAATAAAAGAACACTGGAGAAGGTGTACGGGAGGCCAATTCTTTTATGACCAATCTTAACAAGTTTATTCGTATCAGAGTGCTGGCTGCCCTGGGAATCGAACTTACGGATACACTGCATATGCAACAGCAGTGTTCTAACAGGAGGGGCTGGAAGCACTCTGCTAAGAAACACTGCTATAGGGGAGGGTAAAAATGAGTAATTGGTGCGTTAAGAAGGGCAAAACTAAAACCAGAGTACTAAAGAGAAAGCGAATGATGAGCGCAACTACAAAACACAGCAACTACTAATCCAAGCAAGCATTGAAGGTGCAGAGCCGAGGACATGTGATCTCGAGCAAGGCTGGCCACACTCCCCAGGCATGTCACTGCGGCCGCGGGACACAGGGCAACAAATCCACGTGGCAGAGCCTTTGCAGCCTGTAGGCCCAGCTGGCTTTCCAAATGTGTCAGCTGGTGGGGTATGATAAGCCGATACAGGTGCCCGCAGCCCTCAGGATCCCCT